TTTTTTAAAAAGTAATTTTAATGGGAATACAGCAATCAATATTTGGCTTTTAATTAGGTTTTAGTGGGGTTATTTTGTGTATTTTTGTATGATTTTTTGTATCTTGTATATTGTATTTGTGTTTTTAATATGCTGTGAACCGCCCTGAGTCCTACGGGAGAAGGGCGGTATACAAATTAAATTAACCTAACCTAACCTAGTGCATAGAATAATGGTATTTTTTCTCGTGGTCGGGGGAAGAGTCTTGCTTGGAAAAAATCCCGTTCACGCACAAAGGAGGGCTCAGGGGCCCATCGTATTCCGAGCTATTATAGTCTGGAGAGGCGTTCCCACAGAGGGACTCATAGGTGGCGCAGTAGGCGTGCGTCTGCAAGGCGTGGGAGCTAGCCATGATGCTGGAAGCGCACTGAGCGCTGGTTATCCGCGAGCACTGGTAGGCATAGGGGTGCACGGCAAAGGTTGAGTTGGGCCCGTGGTATCTCCCGACCTCCTGACCTTGCTCGGTAAGGAAATTCCTTGAGTTGAGCTGGAGGCAACCGGCCATCAAGTTAGTGGTTGGCTGGGACAAGCCTTTGCACAAAGTCTGCACGTAGGAGACCAAGTCCGGCCTCTTACCCGAGCGCAGGATCTCCGACAAGGCCCAGATGTAGTTCTTGGCTAGCCGCAAGGTTTCGATCTTAGACAATTTCTGCGTTTTGGAGTAACAAGGCACGACCTTGCGGAGGTTGTCCAAGGCAGCATTGAGGTCGTGCATCCGGTTGCGTTCCCGGGCGTTGGCCTTTTGGCGTCGTAGCTTGGAGCGCTCCAGCCTAGCCTTGGTCATTTTCCTCTTTTTGGGGCCCCGTTTCTTAGGCCGATCGCCTTCTGCTTCCTCGACCCCTTCCTCCTCCAACTCCTCCTCCTCTCCATCAGCGCCCAGGTCCTTCTCCTCTTTCACCTCCGAGTCGTTCGGCTCCTCCTGGAGAGGGCAGCTTTTGCTTTTCCGCTTTTTGTCGCTCGATTCATCCTCTTCACAATCGTCCACCCAGCTGGAGAATTTCTGAACTTCTGGGATCAAGCTGGGTTCGCTGAAGAGGCGCGTCAACGTGGTGACTTGAAGGGTGACATAGGGGCAGGGAAGAAAGGAGGGAGGGGAAAGGCACACGGATTGAGCGGGCAGGAAAGAAGGGAAGAATGGCAGGAAAGAAGGGAAGAATGGCAGCAAGAAATGGTCACACAAGTTGCTCTTAACAGCCACCAACCAACTACCCTGGACCCCTGGAAGATTCCCTCAACCCAAGGATAATTTGGTCGCTCAGCCCTTTTGAGTCAATTGCTGGGAACGCTGTCAGTTAATCACCTGTGCAGATTTCAATCTTCTAGACCAAGATGTTGCAGGGCCCTCCCTTCCCCAAAAGACCTTTGCTGTCAGCCTGGCCGCAGGATCCTTGGGGTGGTTTGGAGGGAGTTAAAAAATTACTTTCTTCAGACATCCACCTTTTGCCCAACCCTCAACCTGTTTCCAACCAAGTTGGAGTTATTTATGATATCATTTTACGGTATGATTTTAAACTATAGGTCGATTATCTTTACCCTCCATCCCTTACAATTGAATCGCTCATTCTCTCACTCTCTCTCTCTCTTACACACACACACACCACTCTCCAGATCACAGGATAGCACTGTTCTAAAGCTTGTCTAAACCTCTTTAGTGAGCTGCCTCCCAAATGTATCTGTCCTCCCAAACAATTTGCCGGGAAGAACATTACCTTTGCATGGTGGCAGCTAAGATTTCTTACCTCCTCCTCGTTTCATTTTTTTAAAAGTATTGCACATGTTCACGGGCATGTGCACATACTTCTCACACACAAACACAGAACTTTGTGGGGAGAGGGCAGGAAGATTTGTTTAGAATTTGCCTGAAATAGGGTTTCCCACACTCCTTCCCTGAATCGACTGGTTTGATTACCATTACCATTAATTGGTGTCTGCACTGTTTTCCCGCTGAACTGGTGCAAAGCTGAGCTTGATATTTCTGTTTCAACTCTGTTCATTACAACCCCCCCCCCCCGTTGTATCGAAATACAATGGCTTTTTTTCCGTTTTCTGTGGGGACTCAGAGCTGTGTTTTTCAACCTCGCCTCCCCCCTTAAGTCTTTTGAGTAGTTTACCAGATTTAATGAAATTAAAAATCATTAAACCTGCCTCATCTGCATCCCAGCACTTTAGAGCATATGACTGCTGCTCTAGCTAGCACACCTTTGAGGCGGAGATCTCGAGAATGCCTTGCTAAACCTCGAACTTTTCTCTCCAATTCCTGCCTCCTTCTCCGCTTACAAAACTGGGTCAGTTGACTTAGCTTTTTCCAAGTCCTTTCCTTTCCATGAAGAATTAAAACGAGCATTACATTTCTGAAGATAGACGCTTCGCAGAGCTGAAACCCCACCGACCCCGGAATCTTCACGCCGCGCCCCTACCTTGCTTGCCAAAAACCTGATAACTTCTCCGTCGGGCCCCGGTTTTTGTCCCCCCCCCACCGGTTTTCCGTCCGAGGGTCCTCTCCGTGCTCCCTGGGAAGAGGAGAAGGGATTCAAATTTCCTTCTCTGGTTATGGTATCATCCTCCTCTACCTCTTCCTCCTTCTCAGAGCGACCCTCGAGGCTGTGGCATCTTCCGCAGATTCTCCCTTTCCGATCCGTCTTCCTCCTCCTCCTGCTTGCTCCTCTCTCTCTCTCTCTCTCTCTCTCCCTCCCTCCCTCCCTCCCTCCCTCCTCCCCCCACCTCCATCCCCATCACCCGCACATCCAGACCTGAGACCATTTTCTTGGGAGAAGATTGAGCTGCCGAAGGAACTGATGGGTCCACGTGCCAATTTTGTGCGCGAGTGTTTGCAGTCATTTTATTTTGCCTTCGGAGGGGTGGAGAGGGGGAGAGGGAGAGCGAGAGCGAGAGAGAGGCCCTCGACGAACCAAACCCCGCCGCAGATAAACCCCGAGGCTAGAATAAATCGCTTGCGAGATGAGATTAGAAAAGATAGGGAGACTTTCGCCCACGTAATCTGGAGATCTGATTCCATAAGGCCACGGTATGTATGTATATGTGTTTGTCTGTGTGCGTTCATTTCTCCCCACACCTTTTAAAAACATAATTTTATTTCAGGGTGACAAATTACCAAATTGTTTGCTTTTGTTTTCTTTTTTTTAAAGTCCTTTGGTATGGTTGTCAGATAACCTTCCTTCCTATACAAAACCGGCCTTGGCTACATAAGAGGTTTTGGATCTATTACATCTTATGTAGCAATAGCTTTTCTACCTCCTCCCACTCCCACCCTGCACTTCGTTTGTTCTTCCTCAAAGATATAAGTCGATTGGGGCATGCAAAAGATGGAGGAGGTGGGGGGAGAAAAGAGAAAGATAAGAACTGCAAGAGGGGATTTAAAAAGTGGCCACGGGTGGGGTAAGATGAGACAAGTTGCAACCCAGTCTTTACGTTTCTGTTGTCCCTTCCTTACATAACTTACCTCCAAAGCTGAGTTGAGGAGTCCTCAAGTCCTCGGACTCTGCATCTTTTGGAAGAAAGGAGGAAAAAATGGGGGGAGGAAAGGGTGTGTGTAAAAGACCCCTTGAGGTCCACCCCACCTCCCTCACTGTCTTATCCAAAAGGAGGAGGGAAGTGGCTTGCTTCAAGCAGGCAGAGGGGTACCAAATCTGATGCCAGACCATATGGCTAGCACGTCATCCACTGGAGTTATCACATGAGCTGTAGAGATTGACATGCTTCACATGCGCTTGAGTGTAGGGAGAACTCATTCTCTGGGGAAAGTGAGACCACCATCTGTCACTCCCTACTAGATAGATAGATAGATAGATAGATAGATAGATAGATAGATAGATAGATAGATAGATGATAGATAGATAGATAGATAGATAGATAGATAGATAGATAGATAGATAGATAGATAGATAGATAGATAGATAGATAGATGATAGATAGACCTAACCCAGCTACCACACTGACTCCAGTTCCACAGATCTATAACAAGATGAAGGAGACTGGGAGAAATGAAAATAGTAAAGGGAGGTGGGAACAATAGAATTTGTGGATGTGGGGATGGGGGCAGGGGTTAGAAAAATACTAGATAGTGGAATGTACCTTGATGTGGCTGGTTGTGATATTCTTTGAAGGAAAGGATGAAAGACCTTATGGGTTTTTTTTAAGAAATTAACCCCCACAGCCTATCATATGCTGTGGTCACAGCCCACCCATGGTGGAAGAGGGCCTACCCTTTTCCACTTGGATTAACCTTCCTTACTGTTTGGTATTAAATATATATATATATATTTAATATATATTTAAATATATTTAAAATCCTCCATCCAAGAAATAGAATCGGAAACAAATATTCACAGTTGTTAGCTGTTTCTGCCCAGATCCTATTCACTGTAACAGAGAAGTTCTTAATGGGTCTGGATCTGAATTGCTCATCTCCTGTTCTACTGACCTAGATGGTGGTGGATCTCCATGAAAGGGCTCTCTTTCAAAACATGTATCAACAGTGGGAAAGAAGGACCACCCTTTGGGCTCTTCAAGATGGCTATACTTAACCATCTGAGAGAACTATCTTACCTTATCTGACAGCAAGGTCCCCTTCTGAGTGGATTCTTTTTTCCTGAATTCCAGAAAATATTTCTTTAGCCCTCTTCTTTAACAGAATCAGACTCCCAGGGTAGTTTAGATATAATCTAGAAAATATTAAACAAAAAAAAGAGACTAGGATGGAGGTGAAAAGAAGCAGCAATATTTGGCTGTTAGGTAGCAGAATTGTCTAATTTCTTGCTTAATTTCTCTAATATCTCACAAAGTAAATTTTGAACATTGTATCTCAAACCCTGTATTCATAGACTCTTCCCCAATCTGGTGTCTTCCAGATGTATTGGAGTCAATGCCGCCAAGCCCTAACATTGTCACAGTCAGCAGCCACTGAAATTCAAGGTAAATAATGGAACCACATTTGGGAAGTTTGATAGTTATTCCTTAAAAAAGTATGCTTTAAATCAACCCAAAGATGACACTCGGATACAACCAACAGCAGCTAAACCAGACTTGCAAACAGATGGATCAAAGTCTAATTTGTTGCTGGCAGATTTGAAGGTGAAACATCCTGTATACAACATATGTATAGACCTACACCCTTACATATAAGTAACATATAAATATTAATCACTGATGGTATTCAAGATGGACAGTGATTAATATTTATATGTTACTTATATGTAAGGGTGTAGGTCTATACATATGTTGTATACAGGATGTTTAAATGTGTGTTAGGTATGTGTACACTTTTGAGAGCAAGCAACTAAATTTCATTTTTAATGTGTGCCATTGTGCCCACAGTAAAAAATGACAATAAATGCTGTCTGTCTGTCTGTCTGCCTGCCTGCCTGTCTGCCTGCCTGTCTGCCTGCCTGCCTGCCTGCCTGCCTGCCTGCCTGCCTGCCTGCCTGCCTGCCTGCCTGCCTGCCTGCCTGCCTGCCTGCCTGCCTGCCTGCCTGCCTGCCTGTCTGTCTGTCTGTCTGTCTGTCTACAGTAGTGGCCAAAATTGTGGAAACCTTTTGGGAAAAGTGTACAGTAGAAATGCCACCTTTGGTTAAGTTTCCACCAATTTTTCTTCTAATTTCTTTATAACTGTAGCCTTGTTCACTTAATAATACTATTTTACATCGCTTTCTGGGCAACCAGTCAACTCTTTGAACCATTACTTTAATTTTATTACGTTTTACAAGCTCACTAAATGAAAGAACACAAAAAACCACAACCAACTTGATAGCGATCACATAACACACTGACAAATGTTCTCCTCTCAGCTTCAATACATGACATCAATAACTGAATCCTACTGTGATCTGATTGGCTCATTGCCAAAACATGATGACACCCCAACAATCT